TCTCTCTCTCTCTCTCTCTCTCTCTCTCTCTCTCTCTCTCTCTCTCTCTCTATTGTGGGACGGGGGAAGGGGAAGGGGCTTTTATACTTTCTCAGATTCAGTCTTCTGTTGAAATAGATTTGTCTCGCTTTTTTTCCCACTTTTTATCCTCTTGGGAAGAACATACGAATAAGATTTTGAAGTTTTATTTCTTTCAACCATTATGTGCCCTACCATAGTGAATGCATTTTTATTTAGTTAAAACACGCTATATTTAGGTAAAAATGGTCGTGAATTCAGCTCGCTTGCTGTGTTGAGCTTACGGCGAGACTGTTTGTATCATGCTGGACCACAGTAAAGAGGACTCCGGCTCGAATCCTGAAAGGGGCTTTTTTTTCTCTTACTTTAGATTGTTTTTATAGTACCAAAGGATCTCCAACCAGTGGGTGATTGGAGGGTGTCAATGGTAGGTCCTACTTCTTTTCTTTTCTTTTGATGTTTCTTTCTCTCTGTCTTACTTTTTTCCCCAACACTTAATGAATTCTATTGTGATGATGTGCTTCGCTGTACTCAAGCAAACGTTCCCCCTCATTGTCTCGGTGCTATTTGGTACATTTGGAGCTCCTACTATTTTAAGCAGCCTCACTGTGTTGAAAGCGATTGTAAAGTACGTGTGCTAATGATGAAGGCGTATGTGAAATAAAGATTAGTCAAAACAAATTCAGACTACGTCGATCAGAAGAAGAGCAGAGAAACGTGTTGTTGTTTTTTCTACCTCTACTGCACTAAATATAATTAGCAATATCCCATTTGTGGTCCATAGAAGGCAAGAGAGGAAGGTGGGAACCTAACAAAACATGGGAACAGGACATAGAAACTTTGCTGGGAACCAAAACAGTTTGTTTTCTTGCGGGGAGGTCCGAGAAGTAGCATCCAACTCTTGAAAAAAAGATAAAAAGATGAAAAAATCCTCAGTTAATGGTTTTTTACCCCGTTGACACGATTATAAATTCATTCGGAGATTAACGGTTTTTTACCCAGTATGTTCGGGTCAAAACACGCCGTAGCCAGATACATTGAACCAAAAACATAAATATATCCTTACAGTTTGGGAATCGAACTTTGGGCGCAAAGAAAACAGTCTATGAATTATTCCACAAACGCTGACACTAACGAAAAATTCCCAACCATCTGTGTGAAGATTGCTTGCAATCAAGAACAGGGTAAGACAGATGGAGGTCTGGTAACCGCACCCTGCTACTTATCGAGGGTGCTGCAGTAACTTTCAGAGAAAAATGCAGTAACTAAGTGGATATCAGCACTCAAAGACGTCACACGCGTTACCTACGTCCCGACCCATATTTCTGACTATCAGGCTTTTTGGAGTGCTCGCATACGTTCGCGCTTAGTTGTTCAGCTCTGTTTGTATTGAAGGAGTCTTTGGCGACTGGGCGGTTACGCTATCAGACTCAGGGTCAAAGCGCGCGCGCACACACACATACACACACACACATACACACACACACAACACACACACACACACACACACACATACATGGTATACGCGCGCGCTCACTCACACACTC